AGGAAATCAATAAAGATAGCTATTATTTCTTTGAGGCTTGAAATTCTCTAAAGCAGACATGTCAGACTCGTGACGTCACGTAACGTTGTGCATCATAACAGGTGGGTTTTGCCATTGCCGGCAATGGGGTGTGCGTGGCTTCCAGATGACGTGTCCAGCCTGTGGGCCGGCAGTTTGACACCCTTGCTCTAAAGCACAGGTCGGCAACCTGCGGCTCCGGAGCCGCATGCGGCTCTTTGAGCCCTCCCCTCTGGCTCCCAGCCTCCTCTGCCTTTGCAGAGAGAGACAGAGACAGAGAGAGGCAATTGCGCTTCCATGCTTCTCTCTCTCTCTCTCTCTCTCTCTCTCTCTCTCCCCCTCCCTCCCTCCCTCTCTCTCACTCACTCTCTTTGTGTTTTTGTGTGTGTATGTGTAAAAGAGAGTGCACTCACAGTGTTCTCCGAGGAGCTGAAAAGCTTACTGGGTGGAGCTCCTCCCTTTGCTGCGTCTCTGCAGGAAGCAGGAAGCAGGAAGGGCAGGAGAGAGCTAGCTAGCCCAGCTAGGTTGACTCAGGAATTCTGGGAGTTGAAGTCGATGAGTCATAAAAGAGACGAGGTTGCCTACCCCTGAGCTTCTTCGACAACAGCTTGAAGCTTGCCAGGTGAGCAGTAGATAGGGGAGGGGGGGAGAAAGAGAGAGAGAGAAAGAGAGAGAGAGAGAGAGAGAGAGAGAGAGGGAGGGAGGGAGAGAGAGAGAGAGAGGAAAGAGAGAGAGAAAGAAAGAGAGTGGGGAAAGAGGAGTGGCAGACCAAGGGCAGATAGAGAGAGAGGGAGGGAGAGAGAGAGAGACAGAGAGAGAGACCCTTTTGACATCTAAAATGAAGATAACACTGCATATATCCTTTTTTTACCTGTGTGTGTATGTAATTTTAGTCTCTTAAAGCATTCTCTTGGTGATCATTGTTTTAATAGTATGGATATTCCCAAGAGTCATATTTTTACTTTTATTTTTAGTGTGTGTGTGTGTGTGTGTGTGTGTGTGTGTGTGTGTGTGTGTGTAGTACAAATAAAATACGAACACCAGGAGAGTATAAATATAAAAAATATACTTTACTAAAAGCTGCCAAGCTTTCGTTTGGAAACTCCAAACATCATCAGGGATGATGATGTTTGGAGTTTCCAAACGAAAGCTTGGCAGCTTTTAGTAAAGTATATTTTTTATATTTATACTCTCCTGGTGTTCGTATTTTATTTGTACTATAGACATGCCCAGGAGTCGTATTTTTATGCAAATTTTCCAGCATATATATATATTATACATATATATATATATATATATATATATATATATATATATATATATATACACACACACACACACACATATATATATACATACACACACACACACACACCTATAATAAAGGTAAAAAAGGATATATGCAGTGTTATCTTCATTTTAGATATCAAAAGGGTTTTGCGGCTCCCGGTGTTTTGTTTTTGGTGGGAAACGGGTCCAAGTGGCTCTTTGAGTGTTTTGGATTGCCTACCTCTGCTCTAAAGGAACAGAACAATGACACTGGCTCACAAGTCAGAGAACTCCAGAGTACAGACCTGCATTCTCTTCCACTATAGGTTTATGAAAATTTACCTCATATTTCCCATCAAATAGATCAACATATAGTACTAGCAGTTTTTTAATTTAAAAAAAGAAAGTATTGGCAATCACACTTTATCTATGCCCAATAATGAAAACTATTTTAAAACTCATTATTTTAATGAGCTGTTTTTGTTGCATCTGATTTATAGAAGCCCTCCTTGACTTGCCTGTTAAATACTATAGAATGTCATCCTTTGGGAACTGTGTTTGGCCCCTGTTAAAAACTGTAAAAAAAAGGATCTCTTTCACCAGGTTCTTAACTGTTAATTGATTTTAACTTTACATTGAAATTATGCCTTTCACTTTTAATACTCTGATTTAGCTTCTAATTAGCTGCCTATTCACTAGAGTAGAGAGCTAGGGTTTAGATCAAATAAAACAAATAAGGAAAATGCCATTCAAAGAAAAAAAGGTGTATTACTGGCAACTTTTGAACATTCCAATTTTTCTTTGCTTTCCTTATTGTAAAATTCTTTTAAAAGAAGAAAGAAAAACCATCACTAGGGAGGACTCAATGCAAAATCCTGCAGAGGGAAAAGCAAGCAAATATTCTCTGGATTGGGAAGCAGAAATGTAAGTTATTGTTATCCACTTCAATGGGCAATTAGATGATCATCAGAATATGTTCGCCCTAACTGTAATCTGGTGTCTGCAATTGCAGAGGGCTGGAATGAAGGATTATGCTATCTGAAAGTCGTAGGAGTTTTCCCATCAAACTCATATAAATATAATATTTGATCTCATAAGCACATAGAGAACCTTCCGAGCTACAAAAGTGCATTTTCACTACATTAATATATGCCCCTTGGTACAATAAACAAATGGTTAGAACGTTAAACTGAACTAATTTTATGATATTGTAAACATAACAGACACTTACTCATGGTCTAAAAGCTGAAACAGACTTTCTGAGAAGTGACCTTGACTTGTTGAATCAAAACTTTATTATCTTTATCTCAGTAATACTTGAATCTAGTTTTTATTCCCCTGAAAAAGACAGCTTATACAAACAAAATCTTTCTCTGGAGTGTTTAGTATTTTGACCATCTGTGGGTGATAGATCCACAAAGAAAAACTTGGTTAAAAAAAAAAAAAACTGCTAACATAAAAAAAAGACAAAACTCCAGTACTGGGATTATAAGCACAGAAACCATTAGAACTCTTGCCCTTCCCTCCAAAAAGCCTTATTTGATTTGGAATTTATTTTTCTGTGCAACAAACTCAGAATTTCTATATTTAGTAAATGTACAGGTCACCCATCTTATGACACTGGATCATTCACAATTACAAAAATAAAATAAAATAAAATAGCAATTATATACCGCTGCATAGGGCTTTACAGCACTCTCACCTAGCCATTTACAGAGTCAGCCTATTGCCCCCCAACAATCTGGATCCTCGTTTTATCAATCTCGGAAGGATGAAAGGCTGAGTCAACCTTGAGTCACTGAGGATCGAAATCCCGGCTGTGGGCAGAGTTATTTTGCAATACTGCATTCTAACCATTGTGCCACCAGGGCTCTAAAATAAAATAAATAAATACACAAAATAAATCCTAAATAAAATAAAAACAATAATTACAGTTAAAAAAATAAGAGCAATAACATAAAAATAACTGTTGAGAAGACCCATCACCACTCAAAGAAGCTATGTCACAGGCTTACTCCATGCTATCACAGTCTCAGGATTAATGGCGAAACCAGGTTTTTAATGCCTTGTTTTCACAGGGCAGAGTTAGGGCAAATCTACTTTTTGAAGGGATAATGTTCCAGAGGGCAGGTGCAATGGTAGAAGGGGCTGTGTTCCTGGGTTCAGACAGATGACATTCTCTTGTAGACAGGATCCAGCACACACCTCTCTTGCCAGATCTAACAGGATGGGTAGGCATCATTTAATTAAAATCACATTCTTAATTTTGGGGGGGGGCATACTTGAATTTGCTTGTCAGTGTTTGCCAAAATCTTTTTATCCTAGACTTTTACCACTTTAGACCACAACTTGTTCTTTGTCTTCCCCTTTACCTTCAACCTATCCCATTTTATACTTTCAATCTTGATGCCCTACATTAGTTTTCTGGCTGCTCAAGTTCAAACTTTTTGCAGTATTGAGTTATTTCTTCTTTTCATAAGACCCTTAATTTTATTTATTTTGGTTTTTTTATTAGTGGCATGCTGGCTTCACTATTTTATTTTCATATATCATTCTCAGTTTCCTCCTGGATTGATTATTCTTGTTTCTACTTTTCTAATTTGTGTGTGTGTTGGACAATTACATTTGACCACCTTCACTTGAATTTATAAGACTCTATTCTTTACTAATCTATATTGTGGATAAAGTAGATATAAGCCTTCTTCCATTTTTACATAACTCTACTATATGGTTAGAAACCTAAAAGGAGTTGTATTTCACAAGTTGGACTGATGGAAGTTTAGATGCAGCTGAATTCTGTCAAACAATAATAGTTAAAATCAAACTTTGTCTAGGTTTACTTGCTGCAATTTGATTGTACAGGAATTTTCCCTATCAGTTTACTGTTTTCTAATAAATTGTAGTAAGAGTTATATTGTTCTTAATGGTACATACTGCAATCTTTACAAGACATGTGATGCATATTTGCATTTTCTCTGTAATTGTTGCATGACTTACTATCTGCCTATGTGTATTCATCCTTTTACATTTCTCTTCCCTAAAATTTAATTGTTTATATTATTTTTATTGAAGCATGTTCAACCTTAAAACAGGGTTTATACTCTTTTTCCCGTTCTGAATGTTTATGTATTGATCTAAACATATAAAATTCCATCACAAATGTGGAACTCATTTAAAAAATAAAAGATTGAGATACTCAGTTGGACAAATAGTCAGAAGTTAAATTGTATTGAGCTCAGTGGGTCTTCTTTCCAAATTGAGATTCACAAGATAGTAGTCTTAAGTTTTCAGTTAAAACTACAGTTCATAATTATGTTTTATTTTTTTGTTCATATCTTATCCCAATTGCTCACTTTGACTGAAAGAAAATTAATTAGTGAATTGTAATATTTGTAAATGCAAAATATATATAAAAATGCCTAAGTTAATATGTATATCTCACAAACTAAGCCCAACAATACCTGGAACATCCCTGAAGGCTTCTCCAAGGACAGAGACATGAAAATTCAGTTCCATCTTTTTCAATTTCATCAGCACTTTAAAGAAGCTTTCAGGATCTTTATCGTGTTCCCTTAAAATGAAACAGAACACACCTTGAGTTTTGAATTGTTTATTTACTTTATTTTTATGTCCATAATTCATACATGGTCTCCATACAAACCTTGAGATGGCCCACAACATAAATAAGACAATTATAAAATAAGTGCATTATAAAAATTGGTTAAAAATCTTACAGACCTTCAAGGTAGCAGTGAGCCAGCCTTGAAAATGGACAGGGTCTGGGCAGCTGCTATGGGTTGGTACCTTGTGCCTGAAGCTCTGTGGAACAGAATACTCTTAGCAGATGGCAGACATCTTTTTGGTTTGGTGTGGAAGGCAATTCACTAAACCTTTTATGTATTTCCATAACAGGTTCAGAATCACTCTAAATAAATAGTTTTGGAGTCTCCTCTGGAAATGCTTATGTCCCAAATTAAAACCATAATTCCAGATTCAAAATGGATTGGAATCATTCATGTCTATAAGCCAGATAATCAAGCAGCCCATCTTTCAGTGTCAAAGTGCTTTTAGGAGCAATGGCACGTTTTAAACTGGAGCAAAATGGAGATTTTTCTGGTGTTCATTGTCCAGCAAAAAAAGCATATAAAAAATAAATTATGTAATTAGGATTTAGGCATTTAGAATCCAATCTTAGCCACGCTTATTTTCAAATAAGCCCCTTGCATTTCATAAACTGGAAGTAAGCATATATAAAACTACTGCCTTTTAGTGATCATCAGAAACTAACAATCTCCCAATTCACATTTTCCACTGGATGATGTCTCCTAAGATATATCATGATACAAAATAATTTTATACACAACTGACATGTATGCAACTCTCTGAAGGCCCAGAGTGTGTTAAAGAGTTATAAATAAGCTAAGCTAAAAGCAATATTTAAAAGGTCAATCTTAATCTTCTTAAAACATTTAACAAAGGAGCTTCCTCTTATTTCAGTTGTAGAGGGGACTCAGAATGAAGAGAAGCGGAAAATGGACATTTTAATACTGCCTTATGAATGTACAATGAGAAACTTATTTTTTTCCAAGCATCAGAAAATAAAGCAGCCAAATCTCACTTTCAAGTATGTGCTTGTAATTAAAACAAGACAACATTTAGAAAATCCAACACCACATTAATAGTGACTGAGAATAGAATAGAATAGAATAGAATAGAATAGAATAGAATAGAATAGAATAGAATAGAATAGAATAGGATAGCTTTATTGGTCAAGTGTGACTAGACACACAAGGAATTTGTCTCCGGTACATAAGCTGCTGATGTACATGCAAAAATCATAATAATAAAGGATAATAATCATAATAATGATATCATAATAATAATGGCTGATGATGCCTTAGCTTTTCAGTTCTTATTATCAACTTATATAATTTGTGGATGGTCTGAATAGAAGCAAATATATTTGCACTATACACTGAGCATGTATATTCTATAATTTAAAGCCCAAAATAGGACGAAATGAGCAACTATATAAATTAGATGTATAATTAGTTCAGGGGTCCTCAAACTTTTTAAAAAGGGGGCCAGCATTGTCCCTCAGACTGTTGGGGCCCGGACTATAGTTTGAAAAAAAATAATGGTTATAACCAAAGCATTATTAGTAATAGGATGGGAGACCACCAGGATAGGCCAGAAGGAGGGGGCAAGGGGATGGTAAAAGAGCAGCAGGGCAGGACTTCCCTCAGACCCTCCCTCTCATTCCAATCTCCTCCCTCCCTCACCCCCTCCCTCCCTCCCTCCCCTTCTTTCTTCCCTGCCTCCCTCTTTCTCATTTTCATCTCTTTCCTTCCTTCCTTCTTTCCTTCCTTCCACCCTCCCTCCCTCCTTCCCTACCCCCTTCTTTCCCTGCCTCCCTCCTTCTTATCTCCTTCCTTCCTCCCTCCGTGTCCAGGAAGGGACATGGGGAGGGGGAAGAGTTGCCAGCATGGCCAGTGCCCATGCTGCCAGTGGCCATCACTTGAAAGGCCACTGTAAATTCCTGGACAAGAGCCACACAACCTTAAGAGCAGAGTGGCGGGAAAATATTTGTGATGAGGGAGGGAGAAAAACAGGCAAGAAATGCAGCTGGGGAGGAGTCACTCTCCACGAGAAATGAAGAAAGGCATCTGCCAACTCTCTCTCTGCTCGCAGTGTCCCCTCTCCCGTAACCCACAGAGCCAGGTGTGTGAAGTGGGCGAGGGCCAATTGCTGGTCACCTCCAGCTAATGATGCCTTTCTTCGTTCCTCGTGGAGGTTGACTCCTCCCCAGATGCGTTTCTTGCCTGTTTTTCACTGCAATTTGTGTGCACGCCCAGCATGGATGGCTGTCACGAAGTTATAGATCGGCTACCGGCTGACCTGTTTTATCTCCTTTGCTCTCTCCCCCCTCCCTTTTCTCTTCAGTGCAGCTCCATCTGACTCCTCTTCCCAAGGCTGCATCTTTTATCTCTCTCCCTCTCCCGCCAAAACTGCCTGCTTTTATAGCCTCCCCTGTCTCCATCCCCCTCCTCCTTTCTCTTCCGGGTGTGCTGGAAGTGCTGATCCTGGGACCTTTGTCTGGCCCCAGCAGCCCTGCAACTCCCGATGATTCTCTCAAGGCAAGTCCTGCGCTGTGCCGCTTTAGCTCATTCCCTCCCCCCTGCTATACTTATTTAGGCCAGGCAGGGACATGTACCACCTGCCATGTACCAGCATACCACAGGTTGAAAAGCCCTGCACTATACCACTGTTTGCCCGGCAAATGCATCCGGCCCACAGGCTGTAGTTTGAGGACCCCTGAAATTGTCTCTTACCTTACCAAGGCATGGAGCTGGAAAGGACCAATCAGAGTGGGTCCTCGTCTAATGACTGCAGGGAGAAGGGGGAAAGGATTTGGCTAATGAAGGCAACTGGGAGTGACAGAATTTTTATTGCTAAGGTTGTTATCACCTGATATCCTACTTTATAACCACAGTGGCCTTTGGGGACAAAACATTAAGTGATTGAAGCAGAATCTGAACTATATTCCAGTGATTTTTATCCTGCACAGAAAGGTGCTTTGTGATTTCTTTCTTAAATCACATTATTTCAATTTTTGAGCACCTACATAAAGTTTGGAAAGAACTAAACATTTTATACCAATTTTCATGCTCACGTGGAAGAAATCTTCCAAGAAAATAATAATTTATCAAATTTAATAAATTTTGAAATCAAAACTAAAATCTAAATGGTGAAAACAATATTAAAGCCATTAATATCTGGGCAGTTCCTGTAATTCAATACGTGGCAGAAAGATTTAATTGCACTCAGATGGAACTTGATAACTTGAATTGGAAGACAAGAAAACTAATGACAATGCATCACGGTTTGCATCCAAGAAGTGATATTGATTTGCTGAATTTGCCAAGTCAGAAAAAGACAGAAAATTCCTACAGATGAAACAAACTATAGAGGAAGAAAAGAATGGCCTGAATGACTACATGAAGACAAGACACGCACTTTTGGATGAAGGAAGTCAATCAAGGAAAACACTTGAAAACCACAAAGGTAAAGCCTGAATATGGAAAAGAAAAAAAATGAAAACCAATTTGTTAATTGGAAGAACAAGCCAATGCACGGTCAAAGAGCTTTTGCTTCCAAGATTTTCACACACACACACACACACACACACACACACACACACACACACAGAGAGACGGCACAGTGGCCTAGAGGTGAAGATGCTCACCTCACATTTGGGAGCTTGAGAGTTCAATCCTAGGCAGTAACAGATTGTTCTCTAATAGGGTGCAAAAAAAAACAAAAAAATCTGCTGCGAACTCTATGTCAGGAAGCCTGTTCTCCAAAGCACTTGAAGATAGAACAAGAAGCAATGGATGGAAACTAATAAAGGAAATAACCAACCTAGAAATAAGGAGAAATTTCCTGAGAGTGAGTATAATTAATCAGTGGAACAGCTTGGCTGTGGGTGCTCCATCACTGGAGGTTTTTAAGAAAAGATTGGACAACCATTTGTCTGACATGGTTATTGGGTCTCCTGCTTGAGCAGGGTGTTTGATTAGAAGACCTCCAATGTACATTCCAATTCTGTTATTCTATTAATACTTGAATAATATAGATGGAAAATAAGATTAAAAACCCATACCGTGTTCATTAAGATCAGGAGTGTTAAAGCAAGACACTGAAGGTTTTACTTTACTGGCTCAAGAACAAGTTAACTAATTGCATGAAGGCAAAAATTCAGCATCTAATAAACAATTGCAAATTCTGCCTTGTGGTGAAAAGAATGAAGCAACTGACGATTTCATCAGTGGCTACAGCAAAAGTTTGCAAACTGACCTCAAGCAACGTCTTGACTAAGTTGCCAGAATTATTCAATAATTCATCAGAGGTTTGGATCTGAATGCAGTAAAAACCACCGGGACCATCAAGTTGAAAAGGATTTTAGAAAATGAGCGGGTTAAATTTTTCTGAGACTTTAAGATCCAAACAGACAGGCAACTTGTTCATATCATGCCTAATACAACAGTTACCAAAATGAAGAAAGTCTAATTCGTTGTTGTTGCTATTCTGGATGATGCTAGGATTGAGGAAAAACAATTGCAAAAAAAATTATGAAATACTGGAAGTTGCAGATCAAGTTAGAACTGAAGAAGTTTCTTGATGAGAAGTAAACATTTAAAAAAAAAAACCAAGAAACTCCAGTTGCCTTTTGGAAAAAAACACCTTTGGAATAATCTGATGTTGAATGCTTATGGGGAAAAAAATCTGATATCGTAACAATATCAGCTCATGTAGCAATCATGACAGGGAGCAATACCTAAAGGATATTGGAAATGTTGAATTTACCAGACCCTAACCCTAATATTACAAACAAACCCATCCTGCTTGGAACTGTCTATATTCTTAGATACTACCTTTGTAATTCTTAAGTCTTTGATTAGGGCTTGAATTATTAAGTTCCACAGGTCTCAGATTGTGAATCTAACCATAGATTGCCCCACACATAATAATTTACTAAATTTTGTTTGTTTGCTGCCCAATTCTTAAAGA